CCTTCGCCGCGGCCGGCGGGTCCTAGACGTGCTGGCGGGTGGTCTAGCGAGGGGTCCCCGAGACCCCGCCCACTGCACGCCCTTCAGCCCCTCCACACAGACTTGCGGGTTCCTTCTGGGGAGCCCTCAGGCACATGGGACACCGTCACCTCCTGACGCAGCAAGGCCGTCCCGCAGGCGGGGAGGTTCCAGAATGCGCGGTCCACCCTGGGCAGAGAACACAGACCCTCGCCCTCCAAGGCGGAGTCTGACGGCCTGGTGGCAGCACACCCACAACCGCGGGCCGCGTCCTTCCCACGGCAGTCTCCGACGGGCTTTCAGCCCCGGTGCAGCTTCTGGAGCCATGGGCACCCCGTGGGGACGCCGCCCTCGTGTCCACCACCCTGAGGACACCCTGTGGACACAGGCCTGGCACTGCTCTCAGCCCTCCCACAGGGCACACCCACAGTGGCTGCTTGCAGGCTAGGATGTGAGCACTGAGTGGACCGGACGGCAAGTCCTGAAAGTCTCCGAGCCCTGGCCCACGGCCTCACTCCGCAGCCTTGCGCAACTGTGCCCACTGAGCTGGGGGCCCGAGGTGGCCTTCCAGGAGGAGGCCACAGCCCTGTGGTCTTCCAGCCCTCGAATCTGCACACCTGCCCCCCCAGACTGCCCACATGTGTAAGTCTTTCACAGAATGGCTTAGCTCGGCCTGGGGCTGGGGGCCAGTGGGGCCTGCGGCCAGTCGTGAAAACTGCCACGGCCGAGCCGGCGTGCTCTGAGCGGTCGACAGCCACGTGCACCATGCCTGCCTCGCCATCGGCCCGGGGGCGGGGAACAGCCTGTCGGAGGGTGCGCTCCCGTGGCCCGAGGGCAGAAGGAAAGCCCACTCCCCACCCTGCGGCAGGTGTCTTCCCGTCAGCAGAGGGGACCCACAGACACTTTCTGTATTTGTGGGGTTGGTGCCGACCGTGCTGCACCCGAGGGTCACAGGGAACTGCCCCTCCAGCTCAAGGAGCTGATGCCTGGCAGCATCCTGGCAAAGGCGGAGCCAGGGCGCGCCTGGCTTCAGCCTGCACAGGCCCGGGTCCGACCACACCTTGGGCTGGCGTCAGCCCGGAACTCTGCCAGCTGGGTCTCCGCAGGCCCAGCACCAGGGGCCCCTCTCCTGTGGTCCAGAAAGCTGAGGAGACCTCCAGCGTGAGGCAGCCGCTCGCCCTGCGGGGTGTCCCTGCCGCCTGAATGGCACAGGAATTGTGGGCAGCGCGGTGGTGCACTCTCACCGGGCCTCACCCAGGGCCGTGCTGCCAGCCAGCAACAGCACCCCGCACTCTGACCTCATGGGATTCTCCCCTTACGCTCCCTTCCAGAAATAGTGCTGCGGACTGGAAGTAGCTCAGCTGCCCCCAGGAGGGCAGGACGGAGTCGGCTGCACAGCTCCTGCCCTCACGGCAGGCTGGCTGCGGCCCTGGCCAGATGCAGACACGTCGAGGAAGGCTGGTGCGGGTCAGAGCAGTGGCTGCAGAGGGCGGAGGGCCGGGCCCCAGAAAAGGGCACGGGACCGGCTGAGCCAACACAGAAAGCGCTTG